AACGGGTGTTGGGTTGCAGCAGTGCGGTCGGGGGGAGTCAGCGAGGGTTGTCTCGCTAGGGTGATCGACATAGGGTGGTCACAGCACCGTCAGCATGAGGCTGCCGAGGACCATGTGCAGGACACATTCAGGGCCTGCTTCCCTGTCTATCGGTACCTGGTTGTCGGCCAGAAGGTCGACAACAAGGGGGTCATGATTCTTCGTTGCACGTTTTGCAACAAAGTTTTCCAAGGGACCCAGTTTCAAGCCACGAGGCACTTCTCGCTGGCAAACTACTGCAAGGACGTTAGCGACGAGGCGTTGTACGAGATTGCTCGATGGACTTAACAGAAGTTTGAGGCCGATTAGATGGAGAGGGTGTCGAGGTATGCAGCGGAGCGCGGACTCGATGTGCTCGGCACGGGTGGTGCAAGGGGAGGAGAGGCGGGGCGGCGGCTGGCGGAGGGAGGGGTCGGGGGAGATGGTGGGCATGGTGCGGCAGACCCCACTTTGGGTGGTGGAGGCGGTGAGACAGAGGAGGGCGTGATCCACGTGGATCGCGAGGCGCGTGGCCCGGGTGACGAGGGAGTCCCGGAATGGGAGGACGTGCCTGAGGTTTATCCAGGCACTGGGGAGAGGTTGGAGGACTGGCGGAGGCGAGCAAGCAAGGGAGCTGCAATGGAGGGGTCTTCCAAGAGGAAGGAAGGAGGGAGTGATCCGGCTGCCACCCCAGCAGGGAAGAGGCTTCGGCAGCAGAAGGTGACAGATGTCTACGATGGCGAGTGGGTTGCCCGCCACAAGAAGGCATTCCTTCGCTGGTTGTATTCCAACAGGGTCTCCTTCAATGCCTTCCGCAACCAGGTGTGGAAGGCATATCAGCAGGTGTTTCTTGAGCAGCCTGGCAGTTCCCTGCGTGCAGTGCTTTCCAACCACTGCGAGATTGCGAGTATGCGGGCGGTGGAGACCCACCGTGCGGAGTTGGCGAAGGAGTTGGAGGAGGTGAGGCAGCCATTCTGGGTGACTGGTGCCACCCTCCTCTCCGATGGGAGAAAATCACGAGACGGGAGACCGATCGAGAATTTCCTTGCTGCTGGCTCTCGAGGGGTCGTCGTGTACACGACGATCAATCGAGAGGGCGAGTCGGACGATGTAGTGCACGTCCTTCATAGATGGGTTACCATCTTCCACGAGTTCAGCTTTGGCGGGCCGCAGCGGATCAATGCGATATGCACTGACTCCGCTTCTGCCTATGTGGGGGCTGCGAGGGCATTGACCTCGCCGTCCATGCCTCCTGCGGACGACACGCGGACTTTTGCTTCCATCCCGTGGTCCGCCGATGTGTGCGTCATGGCGCGGTGGGTGCGCCGACAGATCAGATGGGATCCATGGTGGCAGAGGGTGGCCACCATCGTCCATATCATGCAGCCCGTCATGGAGTTGCTCAGGAGGATGGATCGTGGAGGACAGTACATGTCCCTCATGATCGAGTGGACGCAGGATCTTGTCCGCCGTGTCACGGTCGCATGCGCCCCTTTGGGGACGTCATTCGCCGACCGGATCATCAGGCGTGTGCAGGCTCGCATACAGCACATACTTGAGCCGGCTCACTGCGCAAGGTTCTTATTGAACCCCTGCAGGCGACACGTTCACTACTTTTCGGGGCAGGTGGAGAGGTACGATGCTTGGCTTGTGGGGCAAGCCAAGAGGTACATTTTGACGCAGACGGGATTCGAGCTGGAGGGTGCGGAGAACATCCTTGCATGTCGGCAGTTTGAGGACTTCCACATTCAGCAGGGCAGGTTCGGGGATTGGGGCGGTCCAGAGGGGCGTGCTCGTGGGCGCGCGTGCAGCGGCGACAGCGAGACAATTGAGTGCGTGTCTTGGTGGTCTCAGTTCGGGTCGGGCTCGCCACAGTTGCAGCGTTGCGCTCTTCGGGTGATGCACATGTGGTCTTGCGCCTCTCCAGCGGAGAGGAACTGGGCAGTCCACGAGGGCATTCACACGAAGAAGCGCAACCAATTGGCCTTCGAGAAGGTTGTGCAACTCATTGAGATCACCGCAAATGTGCGGTTGACTGAGTATCGGCGGGCTCGATGCAGTTATGTGCTGCCATGGCAGCGGGACGAGGGCATGTTGGATTGCCAGGTAGGACTCGAGTTGGAGCCTGTGCGCACGGGAACTCGCAGGAGGATGACGGACGAGGAGATTGCCCGTCAGGTTGCACTTATTACCTAGGATCCCATCGGGGCGTCTGCACCACCCTCGGCTGATGCCGTTTTCGATAGACGTGCTTGCATTTTTCGTCCCTACCCCAGGGACGACGACTCAGACGAGGAGCCGATACCCGAGGCAGCAGATGACCCTACGCTCCGCATTCCCCGGGAGATCGACGAGATGCACGAGGATCCCGGCTCCGAGGACACGAGGACACAGACTGCACGACGGGCGGCGGACCGGGCGGAGAGCGAGATGCTGGGGGGAGACGAGGACTTTTCGGGCCCATTCGGTGAGGTCGCTTCCACGGGCGGCCCAGAGGCGTAGGCGACGACCCCCACTCCGACGAGGCGGGATTCGTCCATGCCGCCACCTCCTGCTACGAGTCCTGCACCATGATCGCCCGTCTCGCCACTTCAGCGGATACGGAGGGGTTGGGGTCCTCTTTGCCTCAGCGAGGCCTTCTCCACAGAGGCGGGGCAGTCCGCCAGCTTAGGTTACGATCACCTTCCCCGGGGATAGGGCAGGAGGAGGGGGGACCTTCGGCAGCAGCAGTGGAGAGTTCGATGACACCAGCGGCTGTGTCGGACGCGACGATCGCGGCCGCGGTGGAGGAGATAGCAGCAGCAGCAACAGTGCTGGTGGAGGATCCACCAGCGGCAGGAGGAGGTGCAGCAGTGGAGGGGCAGGTGGCAGCAGCAGGAGGAGCAGGTGGAGGAGCAGCAACAGTGGAGGTTGAGGTGGCAGCAGCACTGGAGGAGGAGGACCCACCGTCGGCAGCTGCAGTGGAGGAGGAGATAGTCGCACAGGCCGAGGTGCAGCGTGGGGGCAATGACGAGCGCCTCATGTAGCAGTTCCTCACGGAGGAGCTCGGTCCGGCCATAGTGGGTATGACCCCGGGTGTGGAGAGGGGGTTTGTGATTTCACATTCGGAGATGGGGACCCACTTAGAATTAGATTTGTCGGTGGGCCTTCCACCCAGTTGCGGCGGGGCGACATCGACGGATCGGGCTCCATCGAGGGACAAGGCGCAAGGCAGGACTTCGACGCAGACTGCCAGAGAGAGGACGATGACTCAGTCTCTAGATGCAGCACACGATATCATGGAGCGAGAGAGGGCTAGACTTTTGGCATCAACTGACCCTCGCGCTCAGGCGTTCGCACGGGCCGTAGAGGCGCCAGGCGTCTAGAGATAGGGGGGGATTGTGTGCAGGGTGGGGTGGTGGCGGGGGAGGACGTTGCGGAGGGAGTGGCAGCAGAGCCGTTACCCGAGGCTATGCCGGGTGGAGCAGAGACAGCGAACGTTGCTGTGGAGGGACGGACTCAGGCGGTGGATGAGGCAATGCAGGCAGGACAGCGACGAGTCGAAGGGGCTATAGACTCACGACGCGAGGGGTAGGAGACAGCGACAGGTCCAGTCGTTCCGTTCTCGGGCCTGCACTTGGCTCAGGCCCGACAGCCGCAGGCGGTTCAAATGGCAGTGCATGGTGTGCCACCGCCCGTTATCACGCTGTGCCTCCCTCTGCAGGCACGGGGCGTGGACGAGGAGGTACTCCACGCTTGCGTGGAGTCTGCTCCTGCACGGCACGCGTCGTTGCTCTCAGAGCGTACTCCAAGGTATCGGTCGACACTCCTCTGCCACGACCTCGCTGAGGCTCACAACCCGATGCCGGTACCTCCCTCGCCGTGGTCGTCCTAGCGCATTCGTCCTCCCAAGCCCGGCTGAAGACGTGCAGTGAGGTCCGTGACACGGCGGGTGGAATCCAAATGTATATCTGTCCTCTCGAATATCGTCGTGTCACACACGTCCTGCTGAACTGCTGTCGTGTCACGAATCCTAGATCTCCCAGGCGTGTGTGGGGATCGAGAGCCTCTGCCTGTGGGTGACGATGATGGATCACCTGCAGGTGCTCTGGGAGGAGGGGGTGGCATGTCTCCTGTGCGTGGCGCTCTCTCCGTCATGCCACCCGAAACCCCTGGAACATGTCCCGCGGTATGTCCTCCAGTGGAGGTAGACCCAGACCGCACGGGCGACGCAGGACCCCATGGAACCGAAGGGATCGACTGCCACGGTGGGTGCTCGAGCTTCCGGTCGAAGATCCGCCGGTCCTGATACGGATGCGGTTGTGCGGGATGCGAACGAGGACTACGAGGGCGAGGAGGAGGGAGAGGAGGATAGCAGGAGCGGTTCCGATGGTGACGACGACGACTACGATGAGCCCCCACCTTCCCCAGGACCCCCACCGACGCGTGCATCTAGACGCTCCGCTTCACGGACTTCTTCATCCTCACGAGGGAGGAAGAGGTCGACATCCGGCACTCGAGGGGGCACGAGGAGACACAGCGGGAAGGGGAAGAAGGGTCGTTGACCGATGAGGCCAACACTCCGCTTCTCCCCTACTCGCACTGTACGTCGTCATGTTGTGCGGTTGTAGTTTTTTTGGTAGTCTGATTCGTCTCATCTTGTCTCAGTATTGTCAGACACTCAGTGGTTGTGTGCGTGCTTTACTTGTTGGTGTGTATGATTTTGGTAGCAGTAGAGTGTTCGTAGAGTATGATTTTGGTAGCAGTAGAGTGTTCGTAGAGTATGATTTTGGTGCGAGTAGGCTGAGTAGTGTGTTCGTAGAGTGTCGTCGGTTGCACACTACTGAGTTCAGACTGTACATTTTTTTTTCTTTTCTTGTATCATTTAGGCAGCTACGACATGACTTGTAGACTATTGTTTCTTGTATTTTTTTCGACATGTGGTGCCAGTGCATTAGCAGTAGCCCGTAGGATACATTGTATCATGTTGCATTTGCATGTGTGATATTAGTGTCAGCCTGTCAGGTACTTCGCATCGTTCACGACTTTTCATGTATATTATATTTTCTGTTACGAGTGATGCACTTTGCCTGCCCATTTTATTGTCGGTGTGTGATTTTATATCTTTAACTGTTGTTCTCATTTTCAATTTCATTTCTTGCATTTTTTTCTTTTAATTTATTTATGGCTTCGAGAGTTCGGTACTTGTTTTTTTTTCTATCTTATTTGTTGATTCTATTTGCATTGAATGGAACACTAACTAATGTTTCGAGGGGTGCACAGGGTGGGGGGTTTTGTGGTGGGGTGGGGGGTGAGTGTAGG